GAACGGCAATTTTCAGTATGGAAGATATTCGTTAAGCAGTAATAAATGACAGAGGAGGCAATATTCGCTTTTAGTTTAATTTTCTTGAACTTTTCATCTTTGCCTGATGTCAACTTTATTTTCTGTTTTAATAGACTGTTTATTTCTTGACATCTTTTCTCCATTAATATTAACTGTTTGCTTAATATTTCTTGTAACTTTTCAATCTCAATCTTATTGTACCTAGCAGAATATTGTGATCTGTTGGTACATCTGCACGTGTATATGTTTTGGCTACTAATACTGAATTTCTGTATCTTTTATTTATACATATGAAGTCTATTTGGTTTCGAATAGCATGTTCAGGTGTAGGTATCTGTTGGTAATCAGATCAGGTGCATTGTTCGTTATTACTAGTTGCTTTTCTACTCAAAAAGATGCCAACATCTCCTTTTTCATTTCGTATTCCCAGACCATATTTTCCTATGATACCTTCCTCTTTTCCTTCGCCAATCTTCGCATTAAAATCTTCCATGACAATATTGAGCTCATGTTTCTTTGTAGGTGCTAATAATTTTTCTCAATCATGATAGAATTTTTCAATTTCTTTTTCTTCATAGTCTTGTGTAGGTGAATATGCTTGTAATATATTCACATTTATTATTTTTGGTCTGTCGGTCACTGGGTCGGTCAGATAGCTCAGCGGGCTGTGCGGCTGCCTCTCATTCGCTTCACTGTCGAATGGTTCAGTGGATGTGGGATCGAGCCCCAGCTCGGTGTACAGAAAACAAAAAGTCTAACGCAGCAGTTTAAAATTCTAGATGAATCTGCGGCTTAGACTAGGATATGCTGGGATCTGATCGGCCTATGGTGGAGCAGTACGGCAAGAGATAAGGGCTTGCGGCTCGGTGATACTCCTCCATAGATCCCTACCGGACGGGCGTAACGCCTAAAAAACCGGATATATATATATATATATATATATATATATATATATATATATATATATTATTTTTGTTTGTATTTGTAACATTAGTAACCTGTATGAGAATAGGACGACGTATTTTATAGCTCTATCTCTTTTGTGATTTGAACTGTGTTCTCCTGTATAGTATACAATATGATGGTCTATATTTACTTTGCCAGATCCTGGCCATCCTATTTTACTTATTCCATCCTAAGTATACTTATATTTAGGAGCTCCATTTCTTTTAGGGTGTTGTAAACCTTTCCTTGTTCGTACATGCTTCTTACATTCCGCGTACCTCTTGGTTGGTCTTAGCAGACAACACGGTAAAGATAAATTGCGATACATCAGACGTATATAGAACAATAATAAAATACATGAGAGACAAAAATGTAGTATACCACACCTACCAACCTAAAGAAGAGCGTGCCTACAAAATAGTCATCAAATATCTACACTATGTGACGGGCATCAGTAAAATAAAAACTAAATTAGCCACACATGGACACAAACTCAGAAATGCGATGAATTGCATAAGTAGAACGACGAAACAACCTTTAAATATATTCTTTGTTGATTTAGAACCAGCAGATAACAACAAAGATGTCTACAAATTGATAAATCTTCAAAATAGAGCTATACAAGTGGACCCCAAAAAATAATAAAATGCATCACCCAATGCATGAGATACCAGCAATATGGTCACTCAATATCATACTGCAACAGACCATTTGTGTGCGTTAAATGTTGTGGAGAACATAATACAAAAACCTGTAAAAAAGTAAAGATATCTCTGCCAGGTGTGCTTTATGTGATGGTGCCCATCTAGCCAACTACAAAGGACGGCAATTCTATCATAATTTATCAGTGCCTCTAACCCATTATCCACAACAAACGCAAAGCAGCTATGCTAATGCAGTCAGAAATGGTACCGAACAACAACCAAATATTAGTGACATAATGAACAAATTTCTAGAGAAAATCAAAAATATATTCATCAAAACACCACAGTCCTGAACTTGCTGACAATGCTTGTATAAAAAATTTAATAGATTCATTAGCAGAGTAGAATTCATAGACTTTCACAGCATAAAAATGAAATAGAGTTATTTCTACTACACAACGAAATTGACATTTTATTAACCAGTGAAAGCCATTTCGCAAGTCACACTTACTTCAAGATATCTCACTAAACAACCTACTCCTCAAACCATCCAGATAATACAGCCCACTCTGGATTGTCTTCTGATAAAAAACACCATTAAACATGCAAAACTACCAAAGTATGCTTAAACTTGCTTGCAAGCTACAGTTATCAAAGTCAGCATAAGGTCTTACGAACTAACAGCCGCAGTAGTCTACTGTCCACCCCAATAAAACGGAATACCTTAAAGAAAGAAGATTTCAATAACTTTTTTGAAACTTCTTCTTCTTCGGGTTCCTTCTCCTAGCGGAGGTTGGAAATCATCATCGCTATTTTAACTTTGTTGGCCGCATTTCTGAATAATTCTAATGAGCTGCAGCCGAACCACTCTTTCAAATTTCTTAGCCAGGACATTTTGCGTCGTCCTGGGTTTCTCTTCCCTTGAAACGTTCCCTTTGAAACTATAGGACATAAATTCATTGTAGCGGGAGACTTCAACAATAAACATGTATTATTTGTATCTCCTCTCAAAGCGACTGAAGGCAGAGAACTAGTAAGATAATACATAAAAACATCTACCACCCTTTGTAAACAGGCTCTTCTACATACTGGCCAAGATATCCAAATAAAACACCTGATCTGCTAAATCTACATAACAAACAATTTACATAACAAATCTTAACTTAACCGGCACGTACCTCTAATTAGAAACCAACAGGGATAAACACTACAGTGAGACAGAAGTAGTGAGAAAAAAATAATGCTTTTTGCCAAACACCTAGCGTAAGTATTTACTTCTAACAACGAAGCTCCATTGAAATTAAAAGAGACATAAATAACATTCCAGTGAACATACTAGTAATCAGACTACTAACCAAAAACGAAGTTCAACATGAAATTCAATATTTAAACAGAAAATCCCTTGAGATGGGCAAAATGATATCAAATATGATAAAGGAACTAACAGATAAATTGAACTATAGCATCAAACATTCTACAGGTACAACTGAATGAAATCGAGACGTGGTGAAACAAGTGGACAATTAAAATGAATGAACCAAAATTAGTCCAAATCACTTTTACCTTGAGAAAGGACCAGTGTTCCCCAGTTTCACTTAATAATATCTAACTTCCTCAATCCTCTAGCACTAAATACCTAGGAATATATCTTGACTCGAAACTTATTTAGAAAGAATATATTCTTAAGAAGCGGAAACAAATTGACCTAAGAATAAATGGTCTAAACTGGCTAGTCGGTAGGAAATCGAAACGGACCTAGAAAATAAACTCCTTGTATATAAAGATATCATAAAATCTATCTGGGCATATGAAATCCAACTCTGGGGATGTGCGAGCAACCAAATACAACCATAATTCAAAGAACTCAATAAAAAATACTGCGAACAATAACTTATGCACCATGGTATGTGTCAAACCTAAACTAAACCTAAACTAAATATAGCACGAAGCACCATGAAAGACTAGAATCACACAGTAACCTCTTACTTCAACCAGAACATAATACCAGTAGGAGACTCAAAAGGAACTGGCCAGCTAACTTGAGAAATGCCCTTTGCTCTGCAGCCAGCAAATTAGTTTATAGATCATTATTTGTGTTTCGATTACTAAAGAGTGTAACTAAATAAAAAAAAATTCTTTCTCTTTTCTACTCGGGGCTGTTGTATTTATCAGTCTTTCACATATCTGGGCACATAAATCAATCAAAAGAATTCCGTAGTACCGAAATGAATGCACGTATTTCTAGTGGGAATTGTTAATAAAATATTTATGCCAACAAAAGATTGATGACATCGAAATTATTAGACAAAAGAGCCAAAATGACTATCTACATTAATTATACCTATAATAACCTATGGTTGTGAGAATTGGGTAATGACAAAAAAAAAGCGCAACTTAAGACATTCGAAAGAAAGATACTGAGAAAATATCGGAGATTAATGAATTGAAAGAAGGGTACGATATTATAAGATTTGTTTAAGTCAGAGACTGCCCCTGACTTTCTGAAAATAAAACAATGGAAGACGATATCAAGACAAAAAAAAAGAAGATCCAGAACGAATTCGTTGGATAAAGTGGAAAACTACCTGAAAACTATAAATGTAAAACAATGGAGGAGAAGGGCATAAGAGAGGTCTGAATAGAAGGACATAGCCACAGGCAAAGACCCATCCAAAGTTAGGATGGCAAAAAAGTAGAAGAAGATGATGATGATGATGATGATGATGATAATTATGATGAACAGTTATTTATTCCTTAAACATATCGTTAAATACCAGTGTAAATAATTTAAGTGAGATTGTATTCACTTATCCTATTGATCTAACAATTTTAACTGATTTTGATTATAAATCTTGATCTTAATGGGATTATTTTTAATGTATTATGGTCACTGTTATTTATAATATTGATATTATTTCTTATTTCTACATATTCTTTAATTTTACGTGTATATTTTTGCGATATCAGAAAAGCTACCCCATAAAGTATCTTTATTAAAATATTGAAAACAAAAAAAAACAATAATTTGCATTTTTAATTTACTTTAATTTTATGATTTATCGTAGTGAATTTGACTTAGCCTAGTTTTCTTAGTAGTTATCTGCTAGAGCCAATTACGTAGGAATCGGAAATTAACATGAAATGATAAGTCCCAGACGTGACATTGGAAGTATCAGGTAGGTAAATAAACAGTTATTTCTTACATATTATTATAAAAATCTGCAATGCTAAAGGAAAATATATTTATCCAATAAAATAAAATTTTAAAATCTACACAAGTAAAAATACAATGGTCATATTAATAATAAGAATTATTTTAAATACAAATTTATAGTGAATTCTAGAAACAAATCAATAATTACTTGTTTCTTTTTGCAAATAGTGACTTACCACTTTTGGGCCTCCCAGAAGTATTCCCTATACTGTACAAATTTTTCCTTAACCGAAAACGACTACTACCAAAAGAAAACTTTTGTAGTATATTTTCCAAATCTTCGTTGGAATGATAATTAAATTCTAGGGGATCCGCAACAAGGAGCGAACACCAGATAACCAAAACCGATAACTTTAAGAAAAATGCTACCATATTTGAAATCTTGTATGTATTAAACACTAATCACTTGCGGTAAGTCATTTACTAACGTTGATAACGATGTTTGATTCAATGTTTTTTGATAGATTTCCCTCCCCCACTTGGTGTTACACCTGCGTGTTATGAAACTTGTGATTTGGTTCGTTATCGAATTATAATATATTTATAAGAAATTTGCTTGATTTGCGATTATTTCTGCAAGTTAATTAAATACAAATGATATAAGATAGAAAGCTACGAGGGTTATTGAATAAGTATATATCTGATCCCTTAACACACATAATTCAAATTAGAATTGTCGTCATTGTCGATTTCTTTCAAAGATGTCCAAGCGGTCTACAGATTTTTAAGTCAATATCCAAGTTCACTTCTATAGCTCACTATCGGTTGGGTTATGGTCTTGTAGATTAGTATCTTAGTCCTTTGATGTACTTCTCGTTAGTTAAATATCTAGTTTGTAGAAAGGTATGCCGTATTAGATAGGATGGTTTTTCTGCTAAGCTCTACATCGTATATGTTGTCTTTTTGTGTTGACTCCTAAATAGATAAAGCTTTCTACTTTTTCTAAGCTTTAAACTGGCAGGTAGCGTCGTGTTGCTCTATTAAATTGGCTTTGTACCAGGATTTTAGTGTTTTTTGTATTTATTTGTTTAGAATGTGAGTTATACTCGCTTGTTGTGTTGGTTCTGTTCATGATACTTATGTCATCTGCATACGTTGTCAGTTGGACTGATTTATTGATAAGTATATTTGTTTTTTGGGGCCGTTAAAGCAGGAGGAAAGACAGTATTGAAAGCATTGACACAATTATATAACTTATGTCTTTCAAAAGAGGTTACACCATCTCTGTGGAATCTAAATTTACTAATGTTTGTATTTTGATAACGATTTCCGAAGTGGAAATTGAAACGTCAATAAACGTATTTTAACCTTTAATTGTGGCTTATTCCCATTTAAATAGTAATTAAAGCTGTTATAGCAGTCATGCACAAAAAGAGAGATATAACAGAGCTAAAGAACTATAGACCGATTATCTTGTTAGATTACGTTTATAAATTGTTTATAAAGATAATAACTAATAGGTTGACATCAAATCTATATCACTTCTATCAACCTTGCGAGCAAGCAGGATTTAGAGCTGGTTACGGAACAAATAATCATTTGCAAACTATTAAATCGTTGATTAAAAAAACCATTGAATATAATATACCCCTGATACTTGTATTTGTCAACTTTGAAAAAGCATTTGATACGGTCAATCAAAGTGAAATGCTCCAAGCTCTAACACAATGTAGAATAGATCACCGATACATATCCCTCATCAGATACATCTATTAGCATGCTACAGCCTGTGTAAGACTTAATGGAGATACTGGGACCTTTCGTATTCAAAGAGGTGTTCGGCAAGGAGACAACATGTCTCCTAAATTATTTACAACTTTGCTAGAATACGTTTGTAAAACAATAGATCGGAATGAAAAGGGCATCAATGTAGATGGAACATTTTTTAATAACCTTAAATTTGCAGATGGTATCGTTCTTCTTGCAGACAGCTTTGATTAGGCACAGACAATGCTCCAAGAACTCCATACTGCCACAAAAAAGAGTTGGTCTTAAAATAAATTTTTAAAAAACACAATTTATGATAAATTTAGTCCACAACAAAAACATCAATATATTGTTGCAAACAAATATATTGTGCCAGTTGACTCCTATAAATACTTGGGCCATGAAATCAGAATAAGTCGAGACAACCAAACAATCGAGCTGAAAAGAAGAATAAACCTGGCTTGGTCTGCATTTGGAAAAATGAAGAATATTTTTAGGTCTAAGATTCCAATGTGTCTGAAAAGAAAAGTATTTAATCAGTGTATTTTGCCAGTGATGACCTACGGCGCAGAAACCCTAACACTCACAAGAACAACAGTGAGTAAACTACAAGTTGCGGAAAGGGCAACGAAGAGAATAATGTTAGGGATTTCTCTACGTGATAGAATACCCAATGCTACTATACGCAAAAGATCAGGAGTAACAGACGTTATTGAAAGGATAACAACACTAAAGTGGAAGTGGGCAGGTCATGTAGCAAGATCAGTTGATGACCGGTGGACAAAAAGAATTTTTGAATGGAGACCCCGAATACAACCTAACAGAAATAGAGGTCGACCCCAACGAGATGGACAGATGACATAAAAAGAGTGACTACAAATTGGATTCAGATGGCGCAAAATCGGATTAAGTGGAAAAGCATGCGAGAGGCCTATGTTCAGCAGTGGACGTTAGAGGCTAGTTAATGATGATGATATTGTTTTTGTCGTTCGACGTTTTGTAATTATGTATTCAAGTTTTAAATTAAACAGTGTTGGTACCAGCTCATCACCCTGTTAAAGTGTTATTTGAAATGGGTCTGTCATCTCGCGTAGCGTAATTGTCATTCGAAAGAGTTTAACTAGTTTTGACGGTATTTAAAATTAACTTAATATTTTGTATAAATGTGCCCTATTTATTGAGTCATATGCTTGTTTAAATTCGACAAAAATATTATATATGTCATATTCCTAGGATTTATTTAAAACTTGCTTCTTAACCGTTAATAGCTGATTGTTCGTAGATCTTTCTTGTCTAAATCCTGCCTGATATTCTCCGATGCTCTGCTCTGCGAGTGATTGTAGTCTATAGTTCGATATACTAGCAAATATTTTATATCCACAACACAGCAAAGAGATTCCTCTATAGTTTTGACAAAATAGTTTGTCACGGCAAAATCACCCCATGCGAAACGAAATAGAAACAGTTTCCCTAACCGTTCGTGCTTCCAAAACCGTTTCCGCCCGGATGCGAGAGTAATTTGCCCGCCCTCCCCAAACTTAACCTTCCCATACAGTTTATAAGCATTTGTAAATCAAAAAGTTAAACACAGATGATACTGCTCTTCTCATAATATCAAGAACATACCATCCTGAGAGAAATGTTGGAATGGTCGAGAGAATTAACCGAACGATGGGTAAACACCTGTCCAAAGTTGTATCAGAACATCAAAGAGATTGGGACCAGCACATTCATTTATTCCTAATGGCCTACCGCTCGGCCGTGAATGAGCCGCTGAACATGCCTGATGTTAGGTCGTGAAGTTCGTTTGCTCTGTGACCTAGAGTTTGGCCGCAGACCTTCCGAAGAACATGTTGCAAGCGAAGATTATGTCGACCGCCTAAAGTTAAGAATGAACAACATTCATGAACTTACCCGATAACACATCCAGTTAGCCAGTGACAGAATGAAAGATCAATACGATTCTCGATGCAAGGATGAAATTCCACTAGGAAACTAAGTTCCTGTAGCTAAGAATGAAAGCTATGAAGTAGGTGATCTTGTTTGACTTTATAATCCACAACGTCCGAACGTTCGAACCCTTTAACATGAGATCAAAGATGACCGGCGACCAAGTTTTAATGAGTTTATGTCAAATTAAGCAGAGAGAAAGAGTGCTAGATTCGGCGTGACGACAGAAGTTCAACAAGATCTTTTTAGTGTTCCGCATAACGTCTCTCTAGCCCACTGTGTTGCCCAAGATCTTGAGATGACTAAAGGAATCTCATCTGTATTTTATAAGAAGTTCAGTCGTTTAGACGAGTTAAAAAATCAGCAGCCTAAAGTTGGAAGAGTACTGAGATTAGAAGATGGCCCTCGATCTTTGCTGTATATGGTGACCAGGAAGTCGTATACAGACAGGGCAAGCTACGAGGATATATGGCGTGCTCTAACTAATTTGAAGAAAATCGTGTGCAATTATGACATCAAGAATTTGACCTTACCCAAGATAGGCCATGCACTAGATAATCTGGATTGGAAGATTGTCAGAAGCATGCTTGAAGTGATCTTCCGAGAAACCGGCGTAAGAATTACTGTGTGTTGCATTAACCCAAAGAGATCGTGCGTTTCAAAGTCAGTAGACTGTTATTTCTTCTTGAGGGGGTCATGCAGAGCTGGAGAGGCCTGTAGATTCCGCCATCCTGGGCCTACATATAGAGTTGCTGATCGGGACGCTCAGATCTAAGAGGGTAGCAGTGTTACGAACATGCTTTCGGCATGGCCCATGTAACGGTTGCATCTCGAAACGGCTTCGAGAACCATCCACAGATCTCTCGAACGCAAGAAAATCCATGCGTCAAACAACGAATTAGAGGTGGGACTACTTTAGATAATTCTAGAATAATACTTTATATATATATATATATATATATATATATATTATATATATATATATATATATATTGTTATGCTATTTAAATTGTATTCTATTGCTTATTTAGAAAAGATCCTGTCTATATTTATTAAATGATCTAATCTCCAATTAATCACAATAAATCAGCATTAATTAATTACAATCTCAGGCTATTTAACTTGTAGTATTTACCTTTGATCGTGGATTCAAAATATTTTCCAATTGGCTTCCTAATTGGGATAGGTAATATGACCTGAATAAAATACACAGAATTTCAACTGAACTATATGTGAGATGTCCTTTATTTTAATGAAATTTTATATAACAATCAATGCTGTAATATTTGCAATATAATACTTTAAATATATGAGAAGTTGTTTTCTATCATGGACCCAAATGTTATTTTACATTGATTTTTAATATGTGTTATAACTAAGCTCTCTTTATTATAATTTTTTTCTTTAAATGATCGCAAAATTAACTGTCTCTATTATTTATTCAATTTATTTAATTAATAAATGAAAACCACACTCCTGCTCTAATGAAAATTGACTGACCTTTCGTTCTCTGCCGTTGTAATTCTATGGCCACGCCATAAAAAAAAACCTTTCTCTGCTTCTGCTCCTATTGTGGTCCAGATGACGTACACCTTTCTCCTATCTGTCCTTGTATCTGCAACCCAACAACTCGTGTAATTCTATGCAGCCTCCTTTTGAGCGAATCTCCGCGCCTGTTTATAACTTCAAATGTTTCCGGCTTCGTCTGATATTAATATTCTTATACCCTTTGGTTTTTCTATCTCTCTGTACCCCGTTCCTCACACTGATCAGCTTTTACACAGCAAATAAACACACCCGGTAAATTACGTCTTCGGGACTTCAAACAAACACAAACCACAAAGCTCCTTCCTTCTTGGGCGACGAAAACTGACTAACTAACTTTTTTCCTCTCTCCTATCTCATAGCCAAAACCACTACCTCCATTGCATTCAAAAATTGACCAATAAAAATCATCCACCTCTGTGACGTATATCGTTACCAACCAACTCTCTTTATAAAACGTCATTCGGGTAATTCCAGAAAACAACATTCTTTAATTATTCTAACTAAATCTATCTGCTTTACAAATATTTCTTACTAATAGCTACAAACGATACCTGTTTCTCAATTCAATGTCTTTTGTTAATAAACTTTTACCGATATAATCTTTCGGGGAGAAAAACCACCGCAAATCCCGGTCTATTGTTTAAACACTGTCTATATACACTTTTATTCTGGGTAAATCCATTCCACAATAACCGACTTATTTAAATTTCTTATCGATAATATTTGAAAGTCTTGTCTCTGAGGCCTAATGAACAATTCTTCGAACAACTTAAAATACATATTTTGTCTTATACAGGATGTTTGAAAATTTATATGCCCGTGTCTTTATGAAATATCAATAATTTTAATTTTTATTTAAGTAATAAAATTTGTATATCGGTTTTTTATTGCTAATGGACATTCAAAAGTACAACAATATATATATATATATATATATATTTACAGTTCGGTACTATCTTATCAACTAAACTAACTCATAACATCGTTACATATATATATATATATATATATATATATATATATATATATATATATATATATATATATGTAACGATGTTATGAGTTAGTTTAGTTGATAAGATAGTACCGAACTGTAAAGTTATATTTAATCTCGCTACAATACGAAGAATTGATTTTGATTGTAAGATTATGTAGAAAAAAAATTTACACATGAATATTATGGGAATATATACTCACACACTAACTAGAATAATATAAGTTGAAAAAAATATGATCTTACCTTTTGTTAATTAAGTACTCCAATAAATATAAAATCTATGTCAGCTACACCAGTATACGCGCGGGGACTCTCAATCCGCATGTGCTTATAATTTGGAAACAAGTTAACGTACTAACTTCTCAGTCTAGAATAACATGAAGCAGCCGAGTGGATGTGGATTTGCAAAGCGACTGTCAGTCAAAGTGTAAACAACTCTCAGTCCGCGCGCGTGAAGTGGAAGGTTAAAAAAAATCCTTTATAGAAGATATATTAATATAAAAGCCCTATCGGACTACATCACAGAACGTTTTCGGAATTAAGTATTCCACTAATTAATATGTGATAAAACTATTACATCATCGGTGCTATCCTAAAATAAGTATTACCATTTTAAGTAAAACAAACGTGAAAGTTAAAATTTTGCCCAAGGTTATAACAAAAAGTTGGTTTAATACTTACTTGATTTACATATTTGAAGCCACTAAATATATAGGTAAAAACCCTTTAAATATAATTCAACTTATTTTAGACTACATTTTTGATGTTATCCTAGTTTTCTAACAATCTAACGTAAGAGAGTTCATTTATCTAGATATATCAGTTCGCATATATCTAAATAGCTGAGCTGAAAAAAGATGACAAAAAGCGATGAAGAACTGGGCGAGTTTTTCAAATCATTCAATTTTCTGAACCGTATTTACGAAATCACATCTTTGTAGGAATCTGTAAAGTCTTCAACAATTGTAAAGTTATGGAGAAAACTTTTACCAAACATCGAAAATTGTGAAGAATTAGCAGTTGCAGAAGATAAAAATGAACAGCCTGATTTTACAAGTTTAGTGAACTCAGTTCCTGAGGGATATAATACGACTAAAGAAATTTGCAAGAGTGGTTAAACTGCAACGCTACCGACCCGAAATTTGAGCAACTAATGGATGAAGACATCCTAAGAAATCGCCGAGGAGAAAAGGAAGAAGAAAATGCTGAAAAAAAAAATAAGGAGGGCAACTGACTTAAGAAACAGCTTTGCATCTTGAGAATGAACTTCATAGTTTACGTGGAGGACCAGAAAAAAGCGCTACTCGCTGGAAAACTGATGCTACGTAAAGTTTAATTGGGATTAAGAAATAAGTTTTCCGATCACTGAAGCAGAATCAAGTGCCAGACTACTTTCAAAAAGTGTAAAAAATGTTAGAATACATTAAATTTGTAAATTAAAGCTCTAGAGGAACTAAATTTTTATTTTTTGCTTTTATTTGATTTCCTTTAACCAGTTACCGGCTTATCAGCGATTTTCATTATCCGTAGCACCGTGCCAATCAGCTCGATGTATAAACGGGAGTTGATTGTATTTAAATTACTAGATAATTACTGATTCGAACAGTTTTTTATGTTTATCATCTATGATGTATATAAAATTTGCCATGAAATGTCATATCGCTGTCTTGTCACTTTTAACAGAAACGCGAATAGAAAATGAATAATATTATCAACAAAACGTTGTTAATGTCTTTAAAACAAGACGTACAATCCATCAACGAGTCTTTGAATAATATTTCAATAGAAGAGAACGATATCAAGTCTTGGCTATTTCCTACCAAACATTACACATTTGTGGATGATTTCATAAAAGGAAACAATATTTTGGAATTGAATGATATTAAGTTGATCTTAGAATTAGTTATAGACAGGTAAAAAGTATATTTGAACTTATAAAAGTAATAAAAATTATTTCTCATTAGATTTAATTTCCACTGCAAAATAATGAAAACATGTGCGGGTTGAATTATCTCTACTTTTAAATTATTCAATACGAGGTAACCCATATTTGGTATCGGATGTGATAATATGCTATCCATTAATCTGTTAATATGGTTCGCTTTTGTCTGGATCTTCATTTTAGTTCTTTGTACTTTAAAGAATCTCCGTATCACTGCAATGTAATAGTTTTTGAAAATATCTAAATATTTTTTTACTCGTGTTTTAGATTATACATTGGGATAAGATTATTATCATGTACAATTAGTAAGACAATACAAGACAAAAATATCGAAATACCAGATTTTGTATTAGCACAATCTCGGCCTATGACTGTTGGATATTGCTTTGAGATTTTTCGAAAGGTTATTACGACCCTTCTGGACCAAATGGTAAAAGATTTCATATCTATACCAATAATTATAACTTTTTTTTATCTTTTTTGCTTAATTTTCCTTCTTTAAGTTTGTTTATTTGAGATTTCTTTCACGTTATAGTGAACTTCAATTAGTATTAATCTTTTGCTAAACGTGTAATATTATTCCAGTAATAATTATTGATTTCAGAACACAGATTTTAATACTCAGGGAGATCACCTAAGAGATGAAAATGGAAAGGACAACGTTAAAACCAATTGTAAAACTCAAACCGAGGTTATTTCTAAAGCCACGTGTGATAGTTGTTCCTCTGCTATTACGTCTATGAAATTTTTGCTGGATATGTTCAATATTTCGAAAGGTGATATTTATCAAATAAGGTAATCTACTTTTTCTCCCACATGAACATAGTATTATATATATATATATATATATATATATATATATATATATTATATATATATATATATATATATATATATATATATACCATGTGTTGTGGTCCATATGTATGGAATAAATTCATTTTTAGCGTTATTATGTACTATGTGAAAAAAACCTGAAACAGGTCGATTTTTATTCTTAAATTGACAGTTTACAGTATGAAATAATATCCTCCTCCAGCACCCCCTTTAAATTATAAGCACCCCTCGAAAATCCGAATGGCCGGCTAGATCACCCGATTTGACTCCTCTCGATTACTTCTTATGGGGTTATTTAAAATCTAAAGTATAATTTACTAGACCAAACAGTATTGCTGATTGAAAAGTTGGGATAACGGAAGAAATTAACAAAATAACTCCCGGAGTTGTACAAAATGTTGTACGAGAATTCCAAAATCGCCTCGGGTATTGTCAAAAAGTGAATAGTGGTCATTTTGAACATTTAATTTAATTGTAAAGTACATTGAAAAATACATTCTAAATATTATGTGACATTATTATCTTCATTCAACCTAAAGTGTTGTGGTAAAGACATTATCAAAGTTTTACATTTTAAACATCAATTTTCTAGGTTATTATTGCACCAAACTTAAAAACTTAATATTGCTGAACAGAGGACTAAAATCCCTTTCTAACAAGGTGCTACACGACCCCCTTTGTTATTTAAAATTTTCGAGGGGGTGCTTATAATTCAAAGGGGGTGCTGAAGGGGATATTATTTTCATACTGTAAATTGTCATTTAAGAATAAAATCGACCTGTTTAGTTTTTTTCACATAGTACTTAATAACGCTAAAAATGAATTAATTCCATACATATGGACCGCATGGTATATTGTTATACCTATATATATATATATATATATATATATATATATATATATATATATATATTATATATATATATACATATATATATATATATATATATATATATATATATATATATAAAATATTCAATGGTTGAATAGCAGAGGTTTTATCGGTCAATAATTGGCAAATAAAATCGTCAACTACTTTATTGATTTATTTGAATACGTTTCGCTTTTATTTTTAAAAGCATCATCAGTTCACTACAAATAAAAAAGATTTTAGAATATAAGTAAACAACCAACAGGGTTCATACTTACAAAAACAATTTGTAGGTTTTTTTAGATGTTATAAAAACTCTACGATAACTTAACATTAAAGATTAACAACTAAACGAGAGAAACGAAACAAAAAAATACAAGAAAAACTGTAAGAACACTATTGTTCATTTAATTTTAACCGATGGCTTCATTTGAATGTTGGTTTAAGCTCTTTCGAGGGTCAAACCACACTAATCTTTTCGATTGTTTTCTATCAGCTCTAGGATGTCATAATTTTCACATGTGGCTTATTGTCGTACATGTGTTTCTTTGAAATGCTGGAAGAATGTACAATTATTGAGGGCATTAGCAAGCGGAACGAGGACAGACCTTTTTTTAAAAAAGATTTATTTTTATTTAAAGAACAAACAAACAAAAAAAATGGAAAGAAGAATGGGAATGCCCATTCCCATTCTTCTCCATTTGTAGTGAACTGATGATGCTTTTAAAAATAAAAGCGAAACGTATTCGAATAAATCAATAAAGTCGTTTACCGATAAAACCTCTGCTATTCAACCATTGAATATTTTTTAAATTTAATCAACGGTCGTATTTTTTGTTATATATATATATATATATATATTATATATATATATATTATATATATATATATATATATATATATATATATATATGAACTTTGATGGTACACAAGGCAAATATCGAACACAGTATTTAATTAAATCTTGCCCAAGTACTTTCGATCACAAGATCATCCTCAGGGGCATTTCGTCAATTGTGGCCTATCCAGCAATAACCGAATGTCATACATGTAAACTGGGACATAACAAATACACTAAAGACAAACAAACACTTTAAAATTTAAATTGGAGAAGCTACATTTTTATATTATAGAAGCCGGAGACAGAATATTCTGTCTCCGGCTTCTATAATATAAAAATGTAGCTTCTCCAATTTAAATTTTAAAGTGTTTGTTTGTCTTTAGTGTATTTGTTATGTCCCAGTTTACATGTATGACATTCGGTTATTGCTGGATAGGCCACAATTGACGAAATGCCCCTGAGGATGATCTTGTGATCGAAAGTACTTGGGCAAGATTTAATTAAATACTGTGTTCGATATTTGCCTTGTGTACCATCAAAGTTCATTTATTCGAACATTCAACCTTATATTGATATATATATATATATATATATATATATATATATATATATATATATATATATATATATATATATTTATTTATAAATATAAGTAGATTTTCTTGGGCTTAGGTTCATACAAAAAGATTGTGACGATACTAAAACATTTTTATTTTCTTTTTTCGACGTTTCGGCAGGAAATCCACGACTTTTTCAAGAAATAATATTGACTAAAAAACATTTTATCAAAGACATAATAAGGTTTAAAAGAGAAACTTTTGACTTACCAAGCATGTAAAAGTTCGGTGCTAACAAGTATACATTAAACGTCACAATTAAAATAATAATAAAAGCATAGGACAGACCCACTAAGTCACTACATGTAAAATGTATTTTAAAATTTAATATGTTGTTTATTGATGTTGGTTTATCATTTAAACAATCAGTTATTTTAACATCATAGGCGTTCTGAGATTATCTTTTTGTGTGTTTTTAAATTAAATTAAAATATATCTTGTTTAAATTTTTGACATATTTTTTATCATTTATTGCATTATTATTCTTTTTGATTTGTATAGACTCTAGGAGCTCCCTCTTCTTCCTGTTATGTTCACTTTTTAGGATCTTGGTTTTGTCAAAATCAAATTTATGTTTCTTTTCGTTTTCATGTTTTGTGAGGGCGGTTGAGTTTTTTTTGTCATATTTGTGGGAACGTATTCTTGAGTTAAGTAGCTGACTGGTTTGTCCAATATATACTCCATCACAATTCGAGCAGAGAATTTCATACACAACATGCGATTTTTTTAATAGAGGGGTTTTTGTTTTTAGTCTTGTAAAATTCTTTTTCAAAAGATTGTGCCCTTTATGAGCAACCGTAATGTTATGTTTAGACAGAAGATTTGCAATTTGTTCTGACAGCCCTTTTATATAGGGGAGAGCATATAGTTTTTCTTTACCGTCTTGGTTTTATTGTATTATTGTTATTGTAAAATTTATGCCGTTGCGATTTGAAAGTGTTGTCGAAAAGCTGGTGTGGGTATGAATAAGTGTTAGTGCTGTTTTTGGTAAAACATCTTGTACGTCACTGGGAATTTATACATTTGTTAAATTTTCTAACCAAGTATCCTGCAATTTATTGTTATGATTTTATTATCTGATTTTAAGTTTAGGAGATAATTTTGCAGTTTCCATCCGTAATAAAAATGACATTCCAACATCAAAAATTATTTGTTCAATTGAGAGTTCCATTTCTAACTTTAGTACCAATGTACAAATTGATATTAGAACTAAATGTTGTAACATTTTGACAAATTTTAAAAACAAAAACAAATACCCTTTGGAAACAAAACACACAAAAGAAAATTAAAAAGACAACAGTTTTTTTTTAATGAGAGCCCCAATTTAGTTGTTCTGAAACCTGACAAAACTAAAAAGACTGTTATTATGGAGTCCGACGACTATGACAGTAAAATGGATTCTCTATTGAATGACAATACAACATACCGTGAAATGAAAAATGACCCTACGAATATTTTCCAAAAAAGAGATAACGAACTAGTCGATAGATGGGAAAAAATGTGCTATATCTCACCAAACACTGCTAATTTCCTCAAGATACATAATCTTGTAACTCCAAAAATATACGGTCTGCCCAAAACACATAAAGAGGGTATGCCGCTGCGCAATATTGTCTCATGCATTTAGTCTTCTTTTGAAAACCTTTCAAAATATTTGAAGAACATTATTTCCAACGTAATAAATAAAAATCCATACTATTTAAAAGACGCTGATCACTTGAAATTAAAACTCCAAAAAAACTTGAAAAAAAAAACAAAAAAATATACATTCACCTCCAAATTATAAATTAGTTTCTCTCGATGTGGTATCTTTATACACCAATATTCCAATAGCTTTAGCGAAATTATTTAAAAAAAAGTGGAATGAAATCAAAGTGTTCACAGACATACCTCTAGAAGAATGTCTAGTAGCAGTCGAAACAACATTACAGTTAACTATTTTCTATATAAAAACAAAATCTTCCAACAAACAGATGAATGTGCGTTGGGTGCTAGCATATCCAGCACCATTGCTCAATTAGTTTTAGAGCATCGAGAGGATTTTTTTTTTAAATAAGATAGATTTTTATATACCTTTTCTCTATCGCTATATAGATGACTGCTTGAGTGCAGCACCAGAGGATAAAATGGATATTTTACTAAATGAATTCAATAGCTTTCACCAAAAACTAAATTTCACATTAGAAGTTGAAAAAAATTGTCAGATTAATTTTCTGGACCTGACCTTACATAGAGAAAACAACACTATAACTACTTCATAGTACACAAAAAAACCTGGTCATCGAGATATCTGAATTTTAACTCTCATCATCCCTTGTCTCAAAAGAAATCTGTAGTTATCGGACTCGCCGATAGAGTTATTAGATTATCCGATCCTATCAATAGACCCCAGGCCATTAAAAAAGCAAAAACCGCACTAATACTTAATTTATACCCACATCACCTTATCGACAACACTTTCAAATCGCGACTGCATAAATTTTACAATAACAATAAAACCAACACGATAAAGAAAAACTATATATCTCTCCCCTATATAAAAGGGCTGTCAGAACAAATTGCAAATCTTCTGTCTAAACATAACATTACGGTTGCTCATAAAGGCACATCTTTTGAAAAATAATTTTACAAGAATAAAAACAAAAACCCTCTATTAAAAAAATCGCATGTTGTGTATGAAATTCCCTGCTGGAATTGTGATAGAGTATATATTGGACAAACCAGTCAGCTACTTAACTCAAGAATACGTTTCCACAAATATGACAAAAAAAACTCAACCGCCCTCACAAAACATGAAATGTTGGGGGAATTGGATTGGTAGGTGGATCAAACGATGTTATGGCTTCCCAAATAATTGCTGGTTTATCAAAAATGGATAGGGGCTATGGTTCTAAAGTTTTCAAAATCAATTTTGGAACCTGTATGAAGGTTATGTTGATTCAGAGATAAAATTGGATTGGAATTACGAACAAAAATGAAATGTTAATAAATTCTGTTTTGGATTTTACGATTGGTTTGGCATATGCATCTAAGATCGGGGGCAGTCTGCACAAGTAATACCAAAAACTAACTACGTGTTGTACATTTGGAATGTTGTCTTTGGTATTCGTGACATATCTTTTGATTTAAGCCTTCATATAATAAGGGTCTGAGTTTTTGGATTGAGCTTGAGCGGAAGATTAATGCATTTGGATTAACAATTTTTTATCAGAGCTTGTTTTAAAGAGAGCTTGGGATATGTTTGCATCATTGGACAGACGTATTGATGCGGAGACAAAGCTACCGTTTCTCTATGTTTTAATAAGGAAAAAACCAATCACAAGGTTTTTATCACACTGTTTAACGAAAACCCACGCGGATCAACCGCGACTTTCAAGCCAACTCTCATCACTGACCTTCACAAATTAATTCATCATTAATATCCACGTTAATTAGTTTTTTTTGACCTTTTATTAAACTTAAATATCGTATCTTACAATAAAAACTTAATAGAATTCAATGAATAATTTAACAGAACATTTAGATATTAATTAGGCGGTTCGAAGTTTGCCGGGTCAGCTAGTATTTATATAAAATCATAAAAATTTTACAATATACTCAAACAATATTGCATAAAAAAGGATAGAATCAAAGAAATTATGAAAAAAATGCCTATCCTAAGCGTGTAGGCTAGTCATAAAACATACAGACACAAAGTAAAAGAAGCTTTCCCATTAAAATCATATGAAACTAATAGCAGATGAAGTACTAACAAAAATTTTAAAATGTATCCCCAAATTGAAATTTCGATTTTTATATTTCTTCTTTTAGACAAACCCAATCTAATATTCACGACATAACCCAGTTTGGCTGTATGCTTCGTGCAACTGCTTCCATAGAAACCCAATTAAAAGAACTTATTGAAAAGCTTATCTCAGCTGAGGATCAAAATAAAAATTCAATGAATCAAATAAAAGAGTTATCAGTAGAGCTGAAGAATAAAAACGGGTCCATCACTCTACTTCAACACGAAAATAGCACCCTTAACGATGCCTTAAAAAAAGGTTAGATATTTTTCTCTTATATAAATAATGATAAACGTACACGTTTTATGTCTATTTTAGTTAGAGTAAAAGTAATTACGCTGGAAAATAAAATATCTGATCTTGAAAAAGAAAAACAAAATGATAAAGAAAAAATAACCAACATAGATAATATTAATAAAGAACTCAACTCGAATATACTTATATTTAAAGTACATAATGATCAGTTAAAATGTGACAACAATGCCCTGAAAGAAAAGGTAGAAAAAATAAGAATTGTGTTAAAAGACCTGCAGGGAATTTCAAAACTTAAAGAAAAACTATTATTAATTGAATCAGAACTTCACTCGTTCCAAGATGTCTTCAAAGATTTAAACAATTTTATAGAAACATTAAATACACGACTAAAAAAGATTTCCAGGAATCATATTGGAATGGAAAGTAGATTGAAAATTTTAAGTTGTGAAATTGTTGCAGACGCTGACAGTATGACAAAGAATTTTCAACATTTTCAGGTAATGTCAATATTACTCTAAAGTCTTCATTATTGTTTTATATTTTGTTGTTATTAGGAAAAACTTCACGAGAAATGGGCCGAATTTGATGTTAAGCTTGCTAACCAATCAAATACTATCCCAAAGGTCCAAATCAAAGGTAATCCCATCGAAGATTTTACGAAGCAAATTGAAGAAAACAAAGAGAAAATACAAATATTACAAAATGAAAACAAAAAACTTGAAACAATTATAAACAAATATAAAACACTTAGAAAATAAAAACATATGATTATATATTTAACAATAAAACGTACAGTTTTTATCGAAATAAATATTGTTATAAGAATATTTCTTGTTTATTGATTTCCATTTTGTTTATATAAAAAATTAATAATATTCTGTGACAATGTTTTGAATTTAATCTAATTGGTATATACACAACCGCTATTACAAAATTGTGTATTAATAGTTGCCTGTATAATAAAAAATTCATTTGACAATCTGTCAATTTTGAACTTTGTACACAATACATATAGGAGAGGAGGAAGCTGTGTACTCTCTGCTGAACTTTATAGCAGAAATAGATCGGCAATTTCATACCCTACGGCTGTGATATATGTAGAGTATTTATTTTATACATTTAAATTTAATATATAGTATTAATTCCGTCTAAAACATGTCGGAATCTTCGGCTAAACCCACTTTACCGTACAGCAAATCTAATGCTAAAGAACAAGATAAGGTAAGTTACATTGGTTATATTTTTTCTGTAGGTTAATATTCAATAATATTTTTGTTGCAGAAATTGTTGGAACCGTTTGGGTATATTCTCCAAGTCCCTGGCAAAAATATTAGATCTAAACTTGCTAGTGCTTTTAATTATTGGTTGTGTATTCCTGATGAAATCTTAACACAAATCAGTGACATTGTTCAAATCCTACACAATTCTAGTCTTTTGTAAGTTATACTTTATGATTGAAACTGAGGAGTAAGATTTATATACCTATTTTAGGATGGATGACATTCAAGATAATTCTATATTACGAAGAGGTATTCCTGTAGCTCATTCAATATATGGAGTAGCTAGTACAATAAACTGTGCTAATTATACATCGTTTATTGCATTAGAACGAGTAACTGACTTGAACCATCCAGAAGTAAGTTTACTTTGTTAAAAAATTATTTATTCTTTTAATACTAATGTCCCTTGTATTATAGCATTTATCATTTATAGCTTAATCAAATATATGTTGTTTACCAAAGCTTCAACTCCCTTATCTTTTTTGGTTTTTATTGAATGAATCATGTACATTGGAAATATGAGAAGTGCAAATCTTTTTTGAAAACTGTTGTTGTGTATGATGTGTTTTTAATAAGAATTCAACGAGAAAAAACTAAAATAAGATCATTAAGTAAAGATTTAAATAAAAACCAAACATGGTATTTTTCCCATGTAAATATATTGTTAGTATAACCTTGAATGTAATCTACTTAATCTATAATTATATAGCACAACAAATCTCAACAATTTAATTTATAAAAATCTACGTCAATATTTATTTGTAAAATAAACATTTCAGGCAATATCTATTGCTATAGAGCAAATTTTGGAGCTTTATAGAGGACAAGGAATGGAAATTTATTGGAGAGATAATTTTACATGTCCAACAGAAGATGAATATAGGCAAATGGTTATTAGAAGTAAGTATCAGTACTTCTAGATAATTGTTACTACTATAATACTACTTTCAATGACACGCATATAAAATTGAGGATTGTGTGAAGAATATGTGGCCTGAGTAAAAATATGACATTGCTAGTTTGGAATTAGTATGTTGAACAAGCATGAGAACTATTGTTACAAAATAAAAGGTTTTAATTGAAAAAACCTTCGAATTTTGTGTTAGACTATTATTATTATTACAATTAATTTTTTTTTAGAAACCGGTGGATTGTTTATGTTAGCTATAAGACTGATGCAACTGTTCAGTAAAAACAAACAAGATTTTACAAAAATTACTGGTATTTTAGGGTTGCTGTTTCAAATTAGGGATGATTATATCAATTTAATATCTAAGGAGGTAACTTTTGCTTTTTATGTTAATTATTTTGTTTAACATGTGTTCTAGATATGTTTTATGAATGTATTTTCAGTTTATGCTGCATAAAAGCTACTGTGAAGATTTAACTGAAGGTAAATTTAGTTTTCCAATAATACACGCTATTCGTAGTCAACCCAATGACCAGCAAGTAATTCGTATCCTTTTTTATAACGAGAAAGGTTAACACATTGCCTGTCGTCTCAGTCTATGTGCAAAAAAAAATTGTCCTGCACCGAACGAGGTATATTGACTGAGAATTTTAATGTAACTGTGGTGCAGGCTCGGTCACTATGGCATGAATGGCAAGAATTACAAAATCCTCTACGGCAGGCAACGTGTTAAATGATGAATTGTTTGCAAATATGAGTCCATTTTCAATAGGTAAAAAAAAAGAAATGCTTTGCTCACAATTAGGTTCATTATAATTTACTTGACTTGTTTGGGCTCTACAATTTCAGCTCATCTTCAGGTCCTTGATAACAGTTACTTAACCAATAAGGTGCAAGGCAATAATAGGTTTAAAGTAAGTACGCTATTTGCTCGATTTTGCCTTGGCTGATGGAGGAACCTAATGACTACACATGCAAGGATAGTGTCTTAAGGAAATATACAAAGAGTAGGAAAATACTGGTTGTATATTTGATGTGACTATTGTGGATTTTTAAAACAAAAAAACTAAAAGTAGGAAGAAATACTGCCAACCGCAAGGGAAAAAACACTAAAAACATTTTTGTTTTGAAATAATCTATAGTATTCACATCAAATATACAATCCATATTTTTTACTCTTTATTATTTCCTTAAGACACTACCCTGGTACCCAAGTGCAGTAATTTGGTTCCTTAACCAGCACTACCCCGGCAGAATCAAGTAAATAGAGTGGTTACTTGTTATGAACACATGCATATGGTAACTACTAACTACCAGTCGATACAACATTTGCCCAACACACCTTCTTTTCTTCATATGCCTTGTCCGTTCCGAACATTGGCAATCAACATGGCTATTCTGACTTTGTTTACGGCAGATCTGAATAGTTCAGCAGATGACAATCCGAACCATTGCCGCAAGTTTTGGAGCCACGAGTGTCTTCTCCTCCCTGGACCTCTTCTGCTGTCTATTTTCCCTTGAATGATCAGCTGTAGTACTCTATATTTATTATGTCTCATAACGTGACCCAACACACCACTGTAACCAAATATATTTTTCCTTACATTGATTTTAAGATATTCTTCGCCAAAGAACAAAAGAAACCGAAGTGAAAAAGTATTGTGTGTCACTATTAGAAAAATATGGCAGTTTCGAATATACTAGACAAACTCTACAAGAATTGCAGAATGATGCCAGAGAGGAAATAAAGAAACTTGGGGGCAACCCGTACATGGAAGAATTTGTAGCATCTCTGGCTAAAATGTGAATGGTATTAAATAAGTGTAAACTTTTTATTTTTATATAAGGTGTTGAATAAATATGTTTCTTATTGATTTGTTTCATTACTTAATGAAATTTTTGGAGTATGGAGTACAAGTCGTTTGCGAAATTTACTTATGGAAGGTAGAGGTATTTTAAAATATTTTAGCACTTAAAGTCGATTCAAACACATCAGTCCCGGCGCCGAACCGTTCCTGTTTGGTCAGAGAAGTATTAATTATCTGACAGCTGGGAAACTGTTCGTCAACTGATGAATGTAAATGCCGGCGGCATATTTCTATTAAAGAATGTTTTGTATGACGGATTGTTCGGTTCGGCGCCGGGACTGAGACGTGACTGACGTGTTGGAATCACTATGGCCTGTTTTTTAACCAGGAGGAGTAATTCAAATTTTCCGCGCCGTAATTCTTGTTTGTAATTGGTCCAACCGCAGGCAAGTTTACTCCACTAAATTATGACATATTGACACTAATGACATTTGTGAAATTTTAAAATTTTTTGTATTTTCTGCGTTATTCCTTACATTCATAGATTTTTCGTTTGCATTTATATAAAGAACAGTTATTTTCAGAACTATTTAGTGTTATTAAGATAACAATATGGATTCAATGCCAAGTACTAGTGGTAATTATTCTTCTCCACCTTAAAAACGCCGAGTAGATTTGTATGTTATTTATATCTAATTATCATAATAAAAACGGCAACTATCTTTTAAATTTAGTGCACACTTGTTAAGAAGCATTTTCATCACAATAAAAGAACATTAGTAAAGTAATGTTGTGTTTTAGTTTGATTGTATTGATACAGTTGGTTTTGTTCTTCCTGGTTGTAGATAATCACAAGAAAACTGCAAAATTATGCTTGAATATAACATAATAGATTGAATTTGTTAATTTTAGTCAATTTTATTTATTGATAACAAATGTTACAAACTCAAGAATCCAGCATTAAAAAAATTGCAAGTACACACTTATTTATACAAAGTATCTATCTTTTTGCATTATAGTGCTTCAAATAGAAAAATAATGATCAAAGTCAAAGTTAACTCTTCTGGTAAGAAAAAAAACCTATATTCAAGAAATTAATCACATCAGAATAAAAATATGGTCTACGCAGTTTAAAAGAACAGTATTTCAGAAATCTTTGAACTCTCTCTAACTTTTTGATACATGCATTTGCATAGCTTTGTTGCATACTTATTAGATCTATATGCAAATTAAAAGACAAATTTATGTCAAAAACCAAACTTGGATGAATGTGAAAAACGTCCTTTTTTTATTGTAATAATTGTAATATCTATTGGAAGTGAATTGAAAAAAATATTCAAACATAAATTAACAAAGTTAGGTTAGAATTGACGTGGAAGGTTGTCTGATATTGATTACTCGATTACCGCAAGGCCGAGATAATCAACAAAAAAAGAAGATGTATTTGGTGACTTTTCTAGTAACTTTCTTGGGTGTGAATCTGTCTTTTTGGTTTACTCCTCCTGGTTTAAAAACAGAGTATAGTATCGAGACAGTGGTGTTTATTTTCTGCTATCAAATGTAGATGGCGCTGCATATCAATATCTCTTAAGAGGGTATGTACTATGTCTCTTAATTCAACGAGAAGTTTGCTCAAGGATTTATATTTAAGGTAATTTTTTAGCCTAATTTTTTGTGGAATCGGTCAAAAAAGTAAAGAAAAGCGCAAATTTTGATGTTTTCTGTAGTGGAACCTAGTAACTGTTCAAAAATCAAGAAATACTAAAAAGTAATAACCTAAAAATTTACCTGAAAGGCAACAAAAATATCATGTAAATGTCTTAATCATAACAAACATTGTTAAAAAATAATAAATACAAGTGATTTTTACTATTAAATTATGTAAAAATATATAATATTGTTAAGAATAATCAAGATTTTTTTCTTTCAAAATAATATGGCGGCAGTGCCGGATTAACACTTTTGCCGCCCATGGGCCAGAGGTCTGCCTGCCGCCCTAGCGGGGGTGCAACACCGGGGGGGGGGGGGTCCGGGCCCCCCCCCCCGAAAAAAATTGAAATTTAGAGGCAAAATAACGCATTTTGGGACATTTTCCAGCGCTCAACTGTCTCTTGATATTGTAATGGTTTTAGTACCTCTCATGATGAAAACAAGAAACTATGTCCTAAAATTGCGTTTTATTAATTAAAATAAACTATTTGACAAAACTCCGTTAATTACGAAACCATTTTCTACAACCGTGATATTCCATTACTTAAGATTACAATAATAGTAAATAAAATCGTTGTTGATATTATTTTGTGAAACATCATGCAGCTCGTAATTCCCAAACTCAACAATTCTTTTATAGTTTTATGACTATTTTGGCTGAGAATGATTGATTTGGAGTGAAGTGAAAATTCGGCTTCGTTACTCGGCGACGGCTCACCTGTGAATGTGCCCGCAGGCTTTGAGCCATAATCGGTCATTGCTGTCGATTTATGGGCAAAAACAGGACAGTTAGGAAGGGGCTAAAATTAGTAAAAGGTGTACAGAGTAAGACTGCAAAATAAATGATAATTTCTGTATTGAATATAGGATAATAACAAATATATACAACATCGAAATATAACTGTTCAGAGCATACAAATCACATATCCAAACAAATAACTTACTCACTAAATTAGCTTTGTTAAAGTAAATATAACTTAAAACTTCTTCTTTCTTGCACGTGCATTGGAAAAATCATCAACAACTGCACTGAAATCGAGTTTTGTTGTCAGTTCATGTTCTATGGCTAAAACAGCCAGGCTGACGAGTCGTTCTTGAGTCACTGTTGAACGCAGATAGTTTTTTACTCTTTTCAAGGTCGAAAACGATCTCTCAGCAGAACAGTTTGTAGCAGGAGTTGTCAAAAACATTTTCAAACCAATAGCCACGTTGGGAAACAAGTCCTGTAGATTTTTTTCTATCAAAAATCTGTACAAGTTTGATAGTGAAAAGTCTTTTTCGGCTTCTTTGTAGTTTCCTCGGATCAGAAGTCCTTTCAGATGGATGCACTCGCATATAAACTCTGACTCTTCAATGTCTTCAATATAGATTTTCTGCAAAGACGTCGCGTTAGCAGTAATTTCTTCGGTAGTTAGAGTCTTTAATTTTGTTAGAAATGAAAACTTTGCAACGAAGTCTGTGTACACAGAGATCCTTTTGTCTAACTGAAACTGAAGTGTTTCCACGATGATGTCATAACTTTGTTGAAGACAATTTCCCCTAATGTCATCATCCTCATCATAAGTTCTTTCTTCATCTTCTTCTGAAGATTCATCAAAGAACCTCTTTCTTTTCGCCTTTCTTTTTGGGCGATCAAAATCTTGCTGCACCTGCGGCTGCGTCTCTTGTGGAAGTTCTGGCTCATCGTTCTGTCTCATTTCACCTTGCGCAATTTGCAGTTTTTTTTCGCCCTCTTTCTTATAGTGGGTAAACATGTCTTTCATGTTCATCACATACTCTGTGAGTGAGTTGTACAGGATTACAACGCTGTCCACGGTCATATTTTCAGCCTGGATCTTTTCACTGACTGAATTAAATTTTTGAAGTACATCTCCCCAAAGGGCTGCCATGAAACATGTTTCTAGAGACATTAGTTTTCGCAACAACCCTTTGGCTTTGGATTGTGTCTGTTTGTTTTCATGATTGCTTGAAGTCATGTCTATCAGCGTCTTGACCATGGGTTTGTAGTCTTTATTAAGGCTTTTGCAAGCTTCTTCCCTTGCAGACCATCTTGTAACACTGAGAGACTTCAACGACGTGTTCTTGTCCTTTCCTGTGGCCGTGAAATTTGACAGAAGAAGATTCCACCTGTGCGTAGAAGACGAGAAAAAATTGTACAATCCTTGCAAGAGATCAAAGAAATGTTTTGCAAGAGAACAGCATTCTGCTGCGCTTGATCCCACTAAATTTAGTGAATGCGCTGAACAAGGCACATAAAATATCAAGGGATTCTTTTCTTTAAGTCTTGCCTGCAACCCCGAGTACATTCCTGACATATTTGACGCGTTGTCATAGGACTGTCCCCTACAGTTTTGTATGTCCAATCCTTTCGACTGTAGGAAAGAAAGCACTGAGTTCACTAGTTCTTCACCTGTATGACCTTGATTTTTCATAAATTCAACAAAATGTTCTTCAGGGATTCCCAATTCATTCACATACCTTAATATGAAAGACAATTGATCAATGTGTGTTACATCAGGGGTGGAATCTACTATTATAGAATAGTACTTGCTTTTCTTAGCATCATTCAAAATTGTATCAATAACGGTTTTTGCCATTATTTCGATGAGTTCTTCACAAATGGTTGATGATAGGTATGACTGATTGCCTTTACCCGCTTTCCCATATTTTTCAATGTGTGCTTTCAAAAATGGATCAAATTCGGCAATCAGCTCCAAGCACATCATATAGTTGCCATTTGAAAAAGAACCAAATTTTTCGTCAGTCCCCCTAAAGGCAAGACCACGCGAGGCAAGTTTTTTTATTACGGCCACCACTCTCTGGAGAACTGCCTTCCAATACCTTATTTCTTCTTCCACTTGGTTTTGTAGAAGCTTATCGATCCTCCCGGCTGCTTCTGCTCTTTGTTTGTATACTATTACACTATTGTAGTGAACGTGCGAGTTTTCATGCTCTTTTATTCTCGCTGATGCATGTTTCCAATCACTGAACCCATTTTCAGTAAACTGAGTAGAGGTCGAACTAAACAATTTGCATGGACCACAGAACAAAGAGCCTAAACTTGGTGAGTAAATCAAGAAATCTCTATTTACAATTTCGCCATTTGCAAGTTTTCTGTCGAATAGCCATTTAGCCAACACTCTTTTCCTGTCTGGATATTGCCTTTCAGATTTTTTAAAATCGCAATCTTTATTTTGATTCCATCCATTTTTAACAAAATATTCCCGCGTCTCTTCATTCACTATCCATAAAGCAGGATCATAATTTGGTTTCAAATGGACAGAAGAGTCAGGTTCAGAGACTGTTAATTGATCTTCAATCTCGTCAACAACAAAAGTTAATTCGGATATAGCTGG